AAAAGAAGGCCATCAAATCCTTAACCCTTCCGGTGCCATATGAAATCTCAGAGGCAGTAAACACAGGTGCCATCTGTCTGAAATGACAACATGGGATACCTGGCTAATTTATAGTTTCAGTCATGTGACTGCCGTGGAGAACTGGTGATTACAGCTTAAGCCTGTTAATTTTTTCATTTGTTTCAAGCAGCAACTTTTTAGATACATCACTCAAAAGACGAAAAACAAAGATATGTGACCAAACTACAAGTTTTGGGCACTTGCGTTGCAATCAATGCAGCACCCGCAGCAGTATCCTACTGCACATTAAACTACTTAAGTTCCGATGAAACAAATTGTGAAGCAAATCCAAGTGTATTACTTAATAAAATTAAATAAAGAGAGAGGATTCTTAATTTTAAGCATAGTTTGTTTATTGAATGTTGAGATATTAAGTGGTTTCTTAATGTTTTTCTGTGGGAAAATGGTTAATGTGGAACATTGCACACTGCAATTAGATTTGCAATCTATTTGCTGGTACATAGCATGTTATATTAATAAGGTTTATATTGAGTTTAGTCCCCCAATATCACTGTCTAAATGAAATAAGCCATATTAAGCATTTTCTTAATGGTTTTCAACATGACATTTAATGTGTATTTATTTTCTAGGCATTGCTGCTTGCCGCAATATGCAAGAATCTTTAATAAGGAACATACTGAATTTGCCCTTTAATAGCACCATCTTAATACATTAGTTGGTAAAACCTTAGTAAATTAGCTGGTAAAAATAACTAGAGGGCAGCGGAGGAAAGCCTTGTTTTGACATCACGTGAAGACCATGTGCAGCAGTAAACTTACACCCTACACCTCAGCTTTGCCTTAACCACCTGTGCTCCAAAATGAGCTAAATATGGCAAGCTAAGGTCATCACTACATATCACTTCAATCAAAAAAAAAAAGTTAGTGTGAGGGGGGGCAAGAGCTGATCCTCTACCTGACTCCATCTTATCACAATACAAATTTTCAGTGCACCAAAGACAAAATGTAACCGAGGACTCACAATCGATTTCAACAAACTACAGATTTCTGCAGTAAGTACCAAGCTAAAAATCATCCACCATCAAGAACAGTGCAATAGGTGATCTGGGAAATGCTAACTTTATGCAGAGACTATTTATATAGAGACATGCCACTTCCTCAACCCTTAATACAACTATATAGGGAGAACCCGTAACACCAAAAATGGCCCCGCCCCTCCCGCTGGAAAGCCAATCGTCTGCTTTTAACAGTCAAGTTCGAGTCATTCGTTCATCATGTGACAGCCACATAAGCGGAGTTATGCAGTCGGTACCGGATCCAGAATTGAATAGTTCATCTTTTGAGTATTCAGGTTCGAGTCATTCGTTCATCACGCGACAGAAGAACGAAAGACTCAGAAGTGAACTAATCATTTATCTTTTCCGGTACTGACAGCATAGACTCTATACGCCTTATTCACGGCAGCGCCATCTTTTATTTTTAATGAGAATGAAAGCGAGGCTGTGAGGGATAGACTTGCATCTCTTCAATGGGCTGTACTGTTATTTAATGTGTTTTCGGATTGTTCTGCTCATGAAACACTGGAAAAATATCTTTCAAAGAAATGTCAGTTGACAATAAACTCCCGACAATGTAAGCTGTGGAAAATTGTAAGTAATGTAGCCGCTTTATTCGGCTTTTTACAGCGGATGCCATTGGAAACACCGTAAGTCTATCCCTCACAGCCTCACTTTCATACCCGTCATGGTGCTGCTCTGAATAAGGTCTATGGGAGTGACAGGAAGAACGAAAGACTCTGACCTGAACCCAAAGACTCGAGAGATGAACTAAAAATTTCTGTTTCCAGTACAGAACCTATTGGATGTTATGCATGCGCAGTTAACACAAAATGAACGAATCCCTCTCTAAGACAACTCGGTAGTCCCAAGTCGTTCAAAATGAACGAATCGTTCATGTTGCATGACCGATCACTTCATCACTAGAACACGCGCACAGACCAGAAGCGAGACGAACCAGTGTTATTGGAGTATATTATGTGTCATTCACTAGTGAGAAAACTTTCCAGTACAGTCAGCGAGTAAGAGCTACAATAATGAATGTAAACAATTGTTTGCCTGCCATTCTCGCTCTGTCTAAACTGCGTACATGATGAACGTGCTGATTTTGTATGATGCAGTGATATGCAAACACACGTTGACTTACAGGGAACACATGCTTTCATTTCCTTCGGACCGAACGTTTTATGGTCCTACGCCTTCCACAGACGATACATATTTATAAATTTATAAAAATAAATTTAGACTGCCTAACATAGTGTTTGCTATAAGGATATGAGGAGATTTTCAACCATCATAACAAAAAAAATTCTGTGTAGAATCTCCTATTGAACCTTTAAAGACCCTCAAGTTTCAAAACACACCTCATCAGATGCGCTTTCTTAAGAGGGTAGGTCTAGGTCCTTTGGTCCACTAATGATGCAACGCTGTGCTTTGAGTATCAGTCTCGTCCATTATTCCTTGACATGTGGGAGGGGGGTGTGAACTAATCAAAGACAGCACATGGCTCAGCTCCCACAGGACTGACAATAATAATAGGTCATCTCACAGCATCACCCGGCTCACTTACGATAAAGAGGGATAATTCAATGTTAAACCTGTCATGCTAGATAAAGGAAGGCTGTTTCCTTGGAAATGGGCGGCAGTGGTGTTTTTACTCAGAGAACTTTATTCTTTGCAAACTAACGCTAATAAAAAATAGTTAAGTGTATGTCGCAAGATACAACAGCAATGGGTTTAATTTCAGCTTTTGAATCTTAAGGACATTTTAGATGCGTAAAAAATGTTTAATGTAAAAGTCTTCATGCTACTAGTATTCAAAAATTAATAATTTTCTTTAAAACGTACAAATGAACTTTTAAAGCTGCATTTACATTGGTCAAATCAAGGGGCGATAATTAAGATACAGATTAAACGGATTTCCAGATTAAGTGTGACATAGAGATTTAGGTTATGATTGTACTGATTAGATCATCTAAAGTACCTAAAGGGATTTACCTGATTAAAGCATGTTCCTGTATCAACATTCTTTTGTTGGACATTCTTTTGACTGAGTGTGTTGACTTTGCATGCGTAAGAATATTTCAATGTTTTCAAAATTTTGTCATATTTTCGGATAATCTACAATCATGTAAATTAAAGAAAAAGTCAATGGCCAAACCAGAATAAGCTGTTACCGTTCGTTTGGATATTAAAATTATGAGTACATGAATGTTGCTCCAGGAACAACCAATGGATGCTGAAGGGGAAACCAGACACGATCGTGTCACCTGGCGTCAACAGAAACTACGTATCCATGTGCCGAGCAAGAGGAATTCCAAACAATACAGTTGATGTTGGTGAGACGTAAAATGTCTTTTGCTGTTCCTTGTGCTAAACGTAAATGTAAACATTGATCTTAATAGCATTCAAAACAAAACACTCAATTTGTGGTAACAACATATTTGCAATATGTAAATCTAAATGAACAGAATCAGGTTTATAGTTGCGTCCCAAATATGCACTTTCTATCCAATGTACCATGTGTGATGTACTATGTGTACTGATTCTCTATAGATTAGTGGTGTGAACACACTACTCGAACTATTTACTAAAAAAAAAAAAATCATAGATTAGTGCATAAGTACGCAAATTGGAACGCACCTCATGTTTTATCTGATGATGATCCTAACAAAGTAATTCGGTGTAATAGGTGGAGCAAGAAGGTCCAACCACACCATAACCCTACCCATAACTGTATCCCTCCTCCACCCATTAGATCCATTAGATAGGTGGAACTAAGGCTGCGTCTAAAATCACATAAGTCTCTTGAGAAGGTACTTATTTTGAACAAGTAATTACTTCACAACTGCTAAAATGTTCGATAGTATGAATGTGTAGTATGGATGTAACCCGGCATACTACATTCCCCATGCTGTCATTATCATGTGACCTGATAGTAAAGTGTGCGCAATTCAGAATCTCGCCGAAGTAGTAGGTCAGCCGGGTACTTTTTTTGCCTACTCATTTACGAGTACTGTGATTTGAGACAAACGTATTTTTTCACATAATGTTTTTGGCCTACTAGTATTAAAGTATGTGATTCTTATACTCTCGAATTGTTACTTATTTTGAAAAAGTGATCACTTCAAGGCTAAAAAAGAATCTTCTATATAGTATGAGTCTGTAGTATGAATGTAATCTGGACGTTGTCATTATCATGTGTGATCTAACAGTGTCAGTGGCTTAACTGCCGTTTTCAACTCCTCTGCCGTTCACAAGTGTCCATCATATGCACACTTCAGAATCTCATCAGAAGTAGTAGGTCAGCCGGGTACATTTGCCAAATCTTGAATGAGTAGGCCTACTGTGAATTCATACAAACTTATTTAGTCACATACTGTTTTTTGCCTACTTATAGAAGGGAAGTATGGCATTTCGGATGCAGCCTAGGTCAAGCTTAAACTATGACGTTCAGAGAGGGAAAGCTCAAGCTGGACGTCATCTGGCTCTGCAGTGAACACCACTTGGATAGTGCGAGAACGCCATACTGTTGCTATGGATACAACGCGATTTCGGTTACAGAGCTTGTAATCTTTTGTATAAAACTTCTGTGGTTACTGAAGTATTTTAAAGTCCAACATACATACTTTCAAGATCAACCCACTCAACTTTGTTAGATTTCCATTGGTGGGGATTTGTAAGACTCCCCCACCGCACCCTGTCAACATTATTATATACCATCTGCGTTCTAACACCTGATTGCCTTTTAATATTAGCCTACATTAAATATTAAAATTAAACGAATAGCCTCGCATTCATTTAACACAACATGAATGGCTAAACAGTTTTTCTTTTTACCATTTAATGGTGGCCATCGATTAAACAAATAATTTCAAGTGCGGATGATAAAATGATAAGAAAACACGTTTAGCGAGTTTCTTACCTTTTTTCGACGCGTTTGCTCTGTGGTGTTTTAGCTGTTGAACTCTGGAGGAACGTTTCCTGTGTGCGTTCCTTCCTTCCGTCCTTCCTTCAACACCTAACGGGACAGGTAGCCAACAACTGACACCGCAACTCAAACGAAGGATATTAAAAGAATATGAGACTAACCTAAATTAAAAGTGCGAGTGCAATGGCAGACACGAGAAGCAATTTGAAAAACAATTAAAAAGTGTCTGAACTAAAAGGGCATGCAGGTTTTTTAGCTAGGGTCCGGGCGGTCTTTGTGTGTACCTGCGCTTCTGATTCTGGCATACAGAGACAGCACAGCGAGCTTGTCCTGCCGCTAGCTTATGGGCGGGGCCTATATGCGCTGAGGGCGGGGCCAAATGCTGCTTAGTCTTATTGTGCTCCCTACTGTCCAGTTGAAGGAGTCAAATTTTCAATACAATGCCATGAGCTGAAAATATAACATTTGTTATGTTTTATTCAGTGTATTTATCATTCATTTATAAATTACTTTCTTAATCGTAAACTGTCAAAAAAAAAAACATAATTTGCATAGATTAAAAAAAGAATTTGACCAATAGAGTAAGGATTTTTTTTATTCAAAAAATGTAATTTAATGTAATCTAATACTTTATTTAATGTAATACAATTTAATGTAATACTCCTATTTATAGTTATTGTGTACACTTATTTCTAACTTATTTCATTATCTTTTTTATATTCTTATTTTTTAAAGGCATTTGACCCTCTGCTCTTTGCATGTCGATCAAAAAAGAGAAAAAAAAATTTTCAATTAAATTAATGTATATTTTTGTTTTATAATGTTTTTTTTTATATATATTTGGTATGGTACTAATTTATATTTACACCGCATGCATTTATAATAAATTTATTCACTTTTTCAGCATAGACCTGAAAATTAAATTTTGTAAATCTTGAATGCTCTAGCTCAGAATTAAGTTTGCAGATTATTGCTGAAGTGAAAAAAAAAGTTAGAAAAAAGTTAACTTAAAAAAGCTACAAATTTGTCATGAAAAATGGACAAAAAAAATCAAATCCAAGCCAAGAATCTAAACAAGTTGTGTTCCAGCTTTGAGTTTGATATCTCCAAAAATGCTTTCAGTAAGAGTTTGTTTGGCTGCAGTACAAAAAGTTGTTAAGATGAAATTCATCTCCCACAATTTCTAGTGTGGACTTTTTTAGCCGCGAAGAGCACAAGTGTCAGTGTGATGACTTTATTTTATTTGTGTGTGTGTGTGTACATACAGTCGCAAGTGTCAAAACCTTAACCTAAAAATAAAAAGTAAAATTGTTCAACAATTCTTCTAATTGTGTTCAACAATTCTTCAAAAAAAAAAAAAAAAAACTGTAGTGAAGAATCCAGACTAAAAACTAGTCTCTTGTTTAGGTTGCAGCAGGGTAATCCCTGGGACATTTTAGGACCTGTTCAAATAAACTGGACACCTATCCTCTAAACAGCTCAGTCTTTTCCAAACAACTCTATTTGTCTGTTGTAGCCAATTTGTGGGTCTTTATTTTCAGTAGCTAACAGGAGATAAACAAAAGTTTAAAAAAAAAAAAAAATACCAAACCCCAAATTCTAAATTCATTTAATTGAATGAGGAAAAGGGAAAGGAACAGACATACCCATGAATTTGAGAAAGCAGCACTGCATTATTCAACCACATTCTTGTATCGCCATCTAGTGATCAACATCGTGTAGGGTGCGCAAAAAAAAAAAAGTTGAGTTATGCAACTTTTTGTTCCAATTTTAAAGGCAAGGTTATCTGAATAATTACCTCAAAACCTAAAACATACCAAGCCACATTTTGGGATTAACACCTTAAGAAGCAAGACTTCAATTTGCAAAAGTGACTAAGGTCATAGCCAATTACCCTACTCCTTATCCTTGATGAGCCTGTTCAGTGTTCATTAAAGGCCCAGACATTGAAAAGAATTACTCCTCATCAGTCTGAGCAAAGATTGTGTTCCATTTAATCACGACAGAGCCAAAATCATACTTAATAACTCTTACATAACCTAACGCACAAACTGTGAGGAGGTTTGCCTATATTTTGCTTTTATTTTCCTATATAGGCTACAACATAGGCTATATCTTATGTTACAGTAGTATAAAAATATAAAACCCAAATGGTATAAAACCGTACATACAATAATGTACACAATAAACAATAACTTGTCTATAAAGATAACTTTAACGATAATCACTCGTGCACACCAGCGGACAATATCGCACGTGCTTCGCTTATGTTTGTCATCTTGCCACTTCAAATACTCGAGCTCTTGATTGGCTGTCAATGGTTTTACCATACTGTACATCAGCTTGGGGAAAATCATTCTGAAAGTGATTTCAACGATGTTGTTTCTCTGTGGAGTTTTCATTGTAGTTGTGGTGTGGACTCTGCTATATTCTTTTATATTATTTTATATTAGCTCTCTATTATTATAGTTAGTCATTGTGCTACGTGCTTGGCGTGAACAGCCTTAAAGGAGTAGTTCATTTAAAAAAATGTCATCAATGAATGAATAAGGGTCTTATCTAGGACGATGAATAAGGGTCTTAGGCCCATTCGAGTCATGACGCGAAAAAGGATTTTGATGAACGAGTTTGAACAGAAGAGTCACGAACGCTTATCACAGAACAGAGCAAGGCGAGCATTTGAGCTTATAAAACTTTTTATATATATTTTTGAAATGACCGATGATTTCACTATAGATAAGACCCTTATTCATCGTCTGGTGTCATTTAAAGCCCTTTGAAGCTGCACTGAAACTCTCTTTTGGACCTTGAACCGTTTGGTTCCCAATGAAGTCCATTATATGGAGAAAATCCTGGAATGTTTTCATCAAAAACTTACATTTCTTTTCGACTGAAGAAAGAAAGACATGGGCATCTTGGATGACATGGGGGTGAGTAAATTATCAGCAAAAGTTTTTTTTTTTTTTTTTTTTTTTTTTTTGTGAACTACTCCTTTAAGAAATAATTTTGTCTTGCAAAACAATTGTGCTTCTTAAAAAAAGACAAAACAAAAAACAAATAGGGGTTCCAGATCAGTCTAACTGATAAAAACCATTGGATTGCTGCAATACCAAAACAACACAATTCCATTTGTGGTATTAGCCTATTTTGTATGATTTGCATGAATGCCGGTGTGAAATTACTTAATCCGTTTTGCACACAAGCCAAACAAAAGGAGTCTATTTCTCTTACTGAAATCTCCTTTCATACGACATTAAAGACATGTGCAACACTGCAATAAGTTACGTCAGCTTTTGAGAAGTAATTTTGCTCACATCTTACATCATACATGTTTGGCACAGCCCCTCAGTTCAGCCCATAACTCAATGACTGCTTTGTGCAGAGTTTCTGAGGTTCCAAAGCATATTACTTTAAACTGATAACTAACAAGCAAGCAGTTCTGATGGAACTGAGAGGTTTAAAGAGACAACAGTAAACAACAGATTGTCATTAGCAGCACCACCACATGTTTGAACAACACATACCACACACATGTGGTCAGCACACAAAACACATGCTTTTGTGCTGATCAGCATTTAGAAATTTACCTAATAAATAAAAGACAATTTTAGAGTAATCTGAGAGTTTTTTATCTTTAATGTATTTCTGATTCACATTCAATGCATAGATTGCTCATTTACACAAAGAAAGAAAGAAAGAAAATAGCTTTTTTTAAGTTGACTGCATGCCTTTTCAGGAATTTATGGTTTAACCTAGAGGCATGGGTGTGTGTATCATTAGGGGTCAGAAAAAAGGCAACAAAGGGGGTAGGTAATTGAGTTGTAAATGTATTTGACGAAAAATGTAAAAGTTGCATAAAGAAAAAGTGATTGGGATAGCAAAAGAACTCTGAACAATAAGCTCAACAAAACAAAAATGTAAAAAAGACTGATTACCACAACATTCAGAAAAATAATAAAAGTTAGTTTCAAATGTAGCCATTCGTGCACAACCCCCACGCCGGCCTGAAAAAGAATTTAGGGTTTGACGTGGCAGTGTTGGGGGAGGATGTGAGCTGAGGATGTGAGCATGTCCCTGCATCCCCCGACAGAAGAATCTAGAAGGAATGTTGACAAAGATGTAAAACTCTACAATTAAAACAGTTATTTTATATATCCTGAAGTTATTTGTGCAGTTTAATTTAAACTGTAACATAAAAGGCACATTCTGTTCTGCAGAACACTGCCAACTCAGCAGAGCAAATATGGGCTCAGTGGTAAAATGACACACATTATCATCTTCCATTACACACTTGATGCCAATATATACGATTTTACTATATATCCACAATTTTTCCTAGGTTTTAATAAAAACGACACTTGTTTAGTTGCAGAGTTTAGCTAATTTTTCTGCCGATTTCAGGCGGCTTTAGGACCATGGTGCAGTGGTGGAATGTCAGAGTTGTGGTCATTGGATCCAAAGGGAGGGCTCTCCCAACTTCTCCAGGAAAGCCAGACATCCTCATTTGAATAGCCCAGCTCCAGCTTCTAGAAGTTTCTTTCCCGGACTATAAAGGCTTCTGCTTCAAACACACTGCAGCAAAGCAGCATCCGAGAAAAGAAGAGGAGCACATCTGAGATAACAAGAGGAGCAAATCCAAGAAAAGAAAAGAAGCTGTCCAAGGTAATTTTTGGGGAAATATTTATTTGGAATGGCTTTATTTTGTATGCTAAAAAGGCTGCTGCACACAGGGTCAGAGAATACTTTTTTTTTTCTCTTATTACAAGTAAAAAAAAAAGACTTTTTGCATTTTTAAAATGTATTTACTTGCAACTAGGGGGAAACAAATTTCTTTACTGTTATCTTATGCAAAACTAGTCAAAACTAGTTTATGTGTATATGTGGTTGTGTAATATTAATAGTTGTTTTATATATACATTTAGGTTTCTTCTTAGTGATGCAAATTTGTGCTGTTTTTCTTTTTTTCTTTACACTAAACTGTAAAGAGTGAGCAAATTTTTCCATTGGGAGTGGTTTTATGCTATCACTCAATCAGTACAATTCACATGCGGGTCTACTGTGGAAGTTCTGATTGGTTGAAAGTTTCTCCCTCAGATCTTCTAACCAATAAGAATAGTCCACGTGTCTTTCTTTCTCTGTGTGCATGAAATAGCAGCAAACTTCTTCAATTTCTGCTTCAAATCGAACCTTATGAGAAGCAGGGAGTTCAAGTCACTGATTTTGTGACTGTTTTGCACTGTAACCAATGTACATAAATATATTTTTGTGTAGATTATCCAAATGCACCTCTTGTCTTTCAGAGTGAAAATCGCAATCGTTGACAACTATGAATATGAAAACGTATCAAGGTATCACAGATGATAAAAAGCAACATACAAAGAAGAAAAAAATATATCTGAATAATCAACCACACTGACTTACATACAGTATTTTGCTTGACAGTGGATAAGGAAGGACACATAACATCTTACAACCAACTTTACCCTCAAGCATAGTTTTAAATTGTAATTTCAACATACAATGTAATCTCTATATTTTTCTGATATTTAATTAAAAGTGGTCACAATTCAGAACTTTATCAAATAAGCAGGCTCATGTTAAGCCACGCATTCCTGTGTGATTAGTCATTGGCGTTGCTTTTGTTTAACTCGTTTGACCTGGAAATCATAGCCTACAGGCATCATTTCTGTAGGTTTACCAATTTAGGGTATATATATACTTAAATTAAAAGACAAAATTATTTCAAACTGATATAAAACTCATGAACAAAACTGCATTGTTCCTAAAACAAACACATAGACATTTTAAAAATAGCATTGGTGAAGAATTGGTGAATTTGCTCTCAGCATCACTGATCTCCCCTCTTCTCCTCTAGGCTTTCATTACTACCCAAAAATACAGCAAGCATGTGGGCGTCCAACCTCATTGCTCTATGCCTTTTGGCTGTGGCCGTGTCCGGTGAGGACAAAAAGCTGAGTACCCATGCAACCTCCATGGCAGACACCAGCGCAAACCTAGCCTTCAATCTCTACCACAACATCGCCAAAGAAAAGGGACTTGACAACATCCTCATCTCCCCTGTGGTGGTGGCCTCCTCTCTGGGCATGGTAGCCATGGGAGGCAAATCCTCCACTGCATCCCAGGTGAAGAGCCTGTTGAAGGCTGACGCCCTGAAGGACGACCATCTGCATTCAGGCCTGTCAGAGCTTCTGAGTGAGGTGAGCGACCCCCAGGCCCGCAACGTCACGTGGAAGATCAGCAACAGGCTGTACGGCCCCAGCTCTGTCAGCTTCGCAGAGGACTTCGTCAAGAATAGCAAGAAGCACTACAACTACGAACACTCGAAGATCAACTTCCGTGATAAGAGAAGCGCCATCAACTCCATCAATGAGTGGGCTTCCACGTCCACTGCCGGAAAGCTGCCAGAAATTACCAAGGATGTGAAAAACACAGACGGTGCTATGATCGTCAATGCTATGTTCTTTAAACGTAAGCATTCGTGTTGGCTCTTTTTAATTATTTAATTATTTTAAATTATTTAAAAATACATATTTTTTAATTATTTTAATTAGAGTGTTGGCTCTAAATTAATTATTTAATTATATTTATTCATTTAAATAATTTTTAAATGATCAATTTAAATATTAAGTTGGAATGGAGATTTAGTTCCGGGAATATCCATCAAATTATATTATAATTATTACTTACTACTTATTACTCTCAGAGAGAGCCAGGCAAAAATAACAAGAAAACATAGCACTGACTAAAAATGTTAATGTTTGTTTCGGTTTCCACAGCCCACTGGGATGAGAAGTTCCACCACAAGATGGTCGATAACCGTGGTTTCCTGGTTTCCCGCTCTCACACGGTCTCTGTTCCAATGATGCATCGCACAGGTAAAACCAGCAGCTTATCTTAAAGTCTCTTATCCTATATCTGCTACCTACAAAAGAACTCAACAGTATTTAACTTGGCCTTTTACAGGCATCTACGGCTTCTATGAGGACACACAAAACAAGCTGTTTGTGGTCAGCATGCCTTTGGCACATAAGAAGTCCAGCATGATTTTCATCATGCCCTACCACGTGGAGCCTCTGGAGAGACTGGAGAAACTTCTCACCCGCCAGCAGCTGGACACCTGGGTCGGCAAGCTCGAGGAGAGAGCCGTCGCCATCTCACTGCCTAAAGTTAGCATGGAAGTCAGCCACGACCTTCAGGTAAATCATTTTTGCTATATAGCTGGTCGCAAACCACAACTAACATTTTATGCATGATGTATGAGCTTTTTCTCTCCTTGCTTTGCAGAAACACCTGGGTGAACTTGGTCTCACTGAGGCTGTGGACAAGACTAAAGCTGACCTGTCCAACATTTCTGGCAAGAAAGATCTTTACCTGGCCAATGTCTTCCATGCCTCTGCCTTCGAGTGGGACACAGAGGGAAACCCATTTGACACCAGTATTTATGGCAGTGAGAAGATCAGGAACCCCAAGCTCTTCTACGCCGACCATCCCTTCATTTTCCTTGTGAAAGACAACAAGACCAACTCCATCCTTTTTATTGGCAGGCTTGTTCGGCCTAAGGGTGACAAAATGAGAGATGAATTGTAACTTTTAGGAGATTTGAATTCTATTTTACGGGGTTTTAAATAGTATTGTTGTTGTTAATGATGTGACTTTTACCTCATGAGCCCATTCCAATGGATTATCTGTGTTGTTTCGACAATCTAAGTCAACCTGTCAGTACAAAAACATTGTTTTAAGGAGATTGGTGATACATCAGGAGGTGTGGAATTGGAACCCCACAAATGTATACAAAGTTTTGACATCAATTAGTTAATGTGCATTTTTCAATCAGACACTATGCTTACATTAAGTGTAGTGCCATTGATGTTAAGCTGTTGTATTGTGGTATTTTAGATTGTGCTTGTAGAATCCCATGTGAGATCTGTGTAGGGTTTGCCTTATCTTTAACGTTTAAAGGGAAAAGGTGGTCCTATGCAATTGTTCCTCAAGCACAATTGTTGGTTCTCTGTTTTCACTTCCATCAAGATTTTTTGACTCCTGCACTGATGCCTTTCTTCTAAATTCTCCATTTTGTACCATATCTTTTGAGAAAGTGTGCTATTTTTTTTTTTAAATCAATTTTCACTCTGTTTGTTTTTTCAATAAACTGAAATGAAAAATATATATTTTGTCCTTGATTTTTTATTATATGTTTTAAGAAATGCTTTAAAAAAACCATAACATTTCATAATAAAATAAAAGTCAAACTGTCATGAATGACTGAAAATCACTAATGACAGATGAAGGCACAGCACATTGTTATTGCTCTGTCAAGCCTTATTGTTTAATCCCAGTCATTCCGCCTGGTTTGACGTGGCAAATTCCTTTGTGTGCTGGAATGTGGAGCTTCATATGTGTTTATAGAGACACCTTACCTTAGAGACAAAGATTTCCCAGACAGCCTGCTCTCTTTATGACACCACCATAAACCACAAAGAGCACATTTGATGTGGGAAATCAGTTACTTCCTTTCACACAAGCAGATCCATCCTGTAGGCTGAATGTGTTAATGAGTGGACGTAAATAAAGGACGGATTAGAGCCTGGAGTGAAGGGCTTTCATGGTAAAATGGGAATCGGGAAAGGTTAAAGAAATAGCCAAAGATGAGATTTGATCAAGATAATTAACCAATGCATAAACATTGTCAGGGTAACCCTGCAGACTTAATGTAATATGCAGTTAATAAATGAAAGCAACTTGTTTAAGGAATTGTATGATTAAAGAAAATATCCAGCCTACTAAATGTAGCCTACGGGGCCTAACTTTAGGACTACGTTGCAAAAACCCATGTAACAGGGACATCTTGTGGTAAGCAACAAAACTGCATGCAGACGTCCTGATTGTCTCGAACGTTTTATTAGTTAAAAAAGGGCCATAGCTAGAGGATTCGGGGCTGTGGGCCACCCACCACCAATATCTGTACAATAGATGAGCATGGGGGCCCACATAACATAACTCCTTCTTATGGAGACTGATTGATTCAGTTCATCAATATAGGCTACTAACATACAGCATGTAGTCGTAGTTAAGTATAGCTTTTCATTGGTTTATGATTAGTTTGTATCTTCACTAATCATGAGTTTATGTTGAAGTAACTATTAATTAAGATATGAATATTCATGTAGTGGGGAGTTGGGGTAAAACGCCCCCAAAATAACCTATAGATAATGTCAATATACGTTTTTGTTGTTGCTATGGACTACGTTGACAAGATTTAGAAGCTATTCACTGTGAAGCTTACACTGAGAGCGACATACCTGAGAGAAAACTGATTTCAGGGTAAAGTAAAGTGATCTAATTTTTAGTAGTAAGAAAAAAAGTGTTTTAAAGTTTGTTGTTTTGCAGAACATAAACGGTTATGATTTGAGAATAGTAAGGCGTGTAAAAAGGGAGTACATGCAATTTAAGTGAAAATATTTATAGATTTTTTTATATCATTTTTTTGCTTGTCTTTTTAATTTGAGGCTAAAACTGTTTTTTTTTTCTGTAAATGTATAGGCTATAAAGCAATTTTTTTTTTTTTTTTCAGAATGGGCTGCATTTTACCACCTGTTCTTAGAACATTCATAGTGTGTTCCCTGACTACTGATCAAATACCGGTTTGTATTTCAGTAGATTAGTGTCCAGATCAGATGCCTGACAAATTCATATTCACTTTTCAGTTAACTAATGGCAATATTTGCAAATGAGCATGTCTGGAGGGACCTTCCAGAAATTCACTCACCACAAAGCGTGAGTGTGAGTGTTGCTTCAAGAAACGAACAACTTGGTCAGTATCTCTTGACACCTGGTCCTGAACGCAATCCACTGCTCTCCTGGAATTCAGATTCCTGGAACTTTACTTTGGATACATTAGGTGACTTTGAATTGGAGGAAGGTAACATTGCGTTTTATCCTGTGTATAATAATGACATTTGTGATCTGGACATGGACCTATGACTTATGAACGACAACAGATCTGAGATCGGATCTGGAGGATCACATTCGAATGGGTCCAGCAGAGATGATGAACAGCCTGGACCTTCTCATCAGACACATAACAGTGAGATCAGATCTGGAGAATCTAGAACACCTGCTGACTAAAGCTCAGGCAATCAGGTTGATATGAGACAGCCAGTTAAAAGAAGAAGGACGACTTCTGCCAGGTCAGAGATCCGATAACAGAAATAGAGAAGATCAGACCACCGCTCTGATTCTGACGGAAGCAGTTTTTACAGACTGCTCAATTTAGTAAGTGTCATTCAAAACAAGCATGGGTCAGGTCATTCCATTCACGCTCTCTGTGATATCACCTTGTCTATTTGGTGTTTGACTGTCACAAGCATATATTTCATAGTAGACATGAGTTATATATAGTTAGATATGGTGAGCAAACCATTTTATCATGAATGCAGCACGATCTAGATTTTAGATCACGTGTTCCTCCCTGCCCTCACTACATCACGGGTGGGGATACACACGATTTGTGTTTTGTTTGTCTGGGAGCAGAGCATCCACTGCCAGCTCTCGAGGGGTCTGACTGTGTACACAGCAGGCAGCTACTGTCAAGGACACTCTTTGAGAAGAGCGCATAGACTTGTGTTCCTCACGCCTGGGTAATGAAACTCATGGGCCCCCCTCTCCTTCCTATCTCATATTATTTAGATTTTGTTTTTATTTAAATTACTATTATCATTTAGGCTATCTTTACCACATAAACAAAAGAGACAAGCATTATTTCTGTAGCCCAAAAATCATTGCCTACATTTGGATTATTAATCAATGTCGAAATAAAGTCAATCTGCAGAGTTTTGCATTCAAATGCATGTAAAGGGAAACATTGATTCAGAGAAGAAAGAGTTAAACTCTTCACACGTGCTCGCGCTGACAGCTGAACACGGCCACTTCATCCAACGCTCATGAATGATGTTCATCTTATATCTTCTTGTTATGAGTGTGAAACCGCTTCAGACAATTCAGTGCGTAAAGGAATCTGAACACATCATTCAAACTAATTCGTGAACCGATTTAGACAGTTTTACAAACATGTTTGATTAAGTCTTTCAACAGAATCGACTCAAAAGAGTGATTCATTTGTGAATTGAGCATCGCTCATGGCTAGAAAAAATATACATCGTGCTTGGAATAAATTATGCATTTAACAACATAGGCTATTACTAAATAACAAGAGAAACGTCGCCCAACGTAACAAGGTAAAAGTACAGTTTTTTTTTTCACTTGAAAGGTAGGTGTGCTCGAGTTAAACTAAGTAGCCTAAAAATAGTACCCACATTTAAATGTAACGTTACTCTTAGAAGTACAAAATTGTAAACTCAAGTAAATGTAACAAAGTAAATGTAGGCCTACTTTGTTTCTACCCACCTCTGCTGAGGTGTCATTACCTTGTTCTGTTTGCTGATGATGATGACCGGCCTCATCTCTGTCTTTTTCCTCAACTTCTTCACTAAAGCTAACGCTTCCTACCGTAAACTGAGGCTGAGCGTAGGCGGTGGTTAGCTCCTTGACACCCTCCTCTTCGTCATTCTTAGCTCTTTTAAGGGCTAAAATGGGACATTTTTAATAGAAGCCGCATGTTTCTCTTCCTTTTCCTTCTTTTTTTTTTCTTTTGGCAGCCCCACTGGACTTTATTATAATTTTTTTCTGATTGGATACTTATCAAGATCAAGGCCAAGCCTTGTATACTATTTAATGTAGCGCAAAAAAAAAAAAAATCTGACCACGGAGGGCCCGTCTCTGCGCAAGAGCAGGCCCAGATGCCCGTATGGTAGATCCGGCCCTGGTTGTTGCCAAGGCAGAGCTGCGACTCAGGTCATGGGGTTCGCAAATGAATCTGGCAGAGGGATTAGAGACAGGCTTGGACTTTTCTCTGCCTTCACCTGCCGAATCTAGTCCCTTATCTCAGGGTTTGGAAGCTCCGAGTGAGACACCTGTGCGGCAGTAATGTGGTTAGCATCAAGGCAGATGTTGAGGATACTCCTGCTTATGAGGAGCTTATGGGGGTTGTGACTTGTGCCGTGGCTACTTTAGACATCGACTGGCCAGCAGAGAAGCAGAAAGTTCGTCATGAAAGTAAGCTAGACGAACACTTGATCACAACCTCCTCGTCGGGGCCTGCCTTTCTTCCCCCGTTCTCCACACTGAGGTGTGGAAGTAACAGTTTTCTTATTGAGTCTTTATTTCCCAAATGGTCAGACCTCAATTATTCCCCAATCCTGGGGCTAAATGAACATTGCTATGGGCTGATGCCTACGGTAGCTAGTCAGCATTATTCCTGAAGGCTCAGACGTTATCCACCAAGTCGGTCAGAACAACTTCGGCTTTGGTATGTAAAGTATATTCAGCGGCAGGTCAGGTCACGCCATGTCCATTCTGCAGGCATACCAAGATAACCTGGTGAGAGACCTTGATGATAAGGGGTCGAGGGTCTGGGCCAGGACACATTAAGAAAGCTGTGCTGGGTCAGAGATATATCTCTCCGAACTACCAAGGAGACAGCCAAGTCAGTCAGCTGGTCAATGGCAGCCCTGGAGAGATATTTATGGCTAAACGTGTCTGAAATGAAAGACAAGTTTTCTCATGGATGCCCCGCTTGGGCTCTCTGGCGATGCCATCACAAGTTGTTGAGAGGTTTTAGGAGGCAAAAAAGCGAGTGGCGGTGTTCGAGAGACATCTCCCTCGCCTCTCTCAGATCTCTCGCCATCTACAAGATCCTCACATCGAGAGTAACAGAAGCAGAGCCTCGCTACCCTTCTTTTTGGCCTAGCCTTGTGCGACTCCATGGGCATTCACGTGCTGAGTTTTTTCACACTTCGGCTGGAGCCAAACATAATAAAATGATTATTTTAGGTTTCAGACATTTAAATAAACAGCCTAAGTTTTATCAAAAATACATTGAAAGTTTGTTAAATACACACTGATGTCAATGGAAGCGCCAATAATAATTTGACAACGTGTTTTATTCATATCATATACACATTGCATAGGTAACTATAGTTTACTCTATCCTTCTCCCAGTATATCGGTGACTTACTTAAATGTATTTTGGGAGAAGTGGTTGAATTTATGTGTTGTAAATCCGACTGTTGTAAGATCCGATTCTCTGAACTGTGGTGCAAACTAACA